CTAACTTTTGTTTACTGTCGGATTATTTCAGCTGCTGTTGATCATTTGTTTTTCGATTGCTGCAGCGTTTGCATGCCTCTCGTGCCCTTTCTCCCTTTGCGATGCAGTATTAGGCCGGGGACATGCTTTTTTCAAATATGTGTTGGTCTTTTTGAGTCAGCTTGGGGTAAAACTGTCATCATCTGACTCTTTCTAGCAATGCCTGCAGACTCTGCACCATGAAAAGTTTATAGTTGCAGGAAAACCATGATGAATATGACAGTTTACAATAAATCTCTGGTTTCAGGCACCAACATAAGATCACCATCTATTTCACTCTGAATTGGATGGTAACAGTCACTGCATCCTGTGTTTTAAAATCAAAACTAGAATAATGCATGAAACATGTGTGAATGTGTTCAAAGTCAACAATCATCCTCCTAGTTGTTCACACTGAGCTGCTCAGCAGGTTGTACATCAGTGTGTCTCCTGTCTCATGCATATTGTAGCTGTTGTAGCCAGTGGCTTCACGCAGTCATCCTGTGTCACACTGCATAAAAACTAACTTTATGAATGTGTTTATTAGCATCACTTTTGAAATGTGAAGTGAATGTACAAAGGTGTAAAGCGCTCTTCGTAACAGTGTCTCATCAGTGTCTACCTCTCAGCTGAAAAGCTTAACTGAACTTTATTGTGAAAAGTTTAAGAAAAAAAAAACCCCATGCATACAAGAAATCCATCACAGCCTTGTCGTTGATACCATTTAATTTGTTTACCATGTTAACGTTTACAACACCAGATCAGTGCCTCATTTCCAAAGAAATTTGTTTTGTGTCTGTAACTATTGGATGACACCCTCTAGTGTTTAACACTGCACATTTATACCAATGAATTGAAGATGGCCACAACATCAATAAGTTCCTTCAAGGTGTTGTGGCTCAAACTGGCTCAAACAAAATGGTTCTAATGACAGAAGTGTCGCACAGGTTAAACCTTAGAACTGCTTTATTGACACTAGCTACATGTCTAGACCCGGTTAGCTAAGAATATTCTTTCAAGCAGACGAGTACTGTATATTAACAAAGCATCATAATGGAAAATTCTTCTGATTCTGTTCTTCTACAGAAGAATTGCTTGCTGACTACTAATGGCTCTGTGGCTGCACAGTGTGTGCCTAATTTATTTCTGCACCAGTTCAAGCAGTTTTGTCCAAAAGTTCAAAACTCTGCAGGTTAGCTTTAACATCCACTCTCAATGGGCCACAGGTATAAATGTGTGTGTGAATGGTTGTCTGTCTCTGTGTGTGTCTCCCTGATGTATTGGTCAACTGAGGGTGTATGCTGTCCTCACCTGGTGACTGCTGGGATTGGCTCCAGTCCCTCCCCAGTGACCTAGAAAAGAATTAAGTGAAACATTAAAAAAATATATATATTAATTCTTCAGGATCTAAAATATGCCTCCAACAAGGTGCTGCTGGCAGATGGTTAATGCCTCTGTGCCTGCTACAGGACCAAGCCTTTTTTATAGTTCCAAATTATATACGTATATGGCACTGCACTAACTAAAAAAATGTAAATTTCTCCACACACTGAACATCTCAGGGGGTGGAGCGTAGAACGAAATGCACCTCTGTTATGAAACTGCATATGGACACAGAGCTCCATGGAAATGAGGCTCGATCCACAGCACTTTTACACATGCACACAACAAGAGAAGAATATATTGGAGTATTTGTCATTGCCTTAATGTAGTTTCATATTCACTGTAGCTGTTTGCTGTTGTGTGATCATTCACTCCCCCCCACCATAGTGTGTGTGTATATATATATATATATATATATATATACATATATATATATATATATACACATATATATTCCCACTTTAATATGTGAGTGTTTTGTTTTTCTATTGCTCTTAAATGGACTGTATATGCTCCTATAAATGCCCTCCATTTAGATGATTCTTCGTGTTTTATCACTCTGGCAACATCCTGGAGAGAAGTGAAGTCTACATGTGGGTTTGCTAATTGCATGCCCAGTCCTACATAGTGTGCATTCAGTGTCTGGGGGTTAACTGCCAGGGGAACATGTATTTTTCCTGTCAGCTCTAACAGTTATTTTGTGTTGTTTATTAGAAGTGCTTCATTAATATTTGTCAGCAGGTTGAATGCAGAGATGTTTACATTATCGCTGTTCGGTGGTTGAGGTTCTCTGTGGTCCTGTGAATAGTGGTAAAGTGATATTGAAGTTAATGTAAGAGAAAAGTACAGTATAATGTAAATAAATAAAACACATTGTCTGTCTGTCAACATCCTCTGTCTGACATTGGAATTTTCTTTTAACATCATTGTGATAATTGCTGTGCAGATAGGGTCGCCACCCATTCCGTTGAATACAGAATCGTCCTTTATTTGGCAATTAAATGTTGCGCCCCCTATTGAAACAATAGTTGTGCCTTGTCCAGAAGATGTCAGTGGATGGGTACAGCATAGTTTAGTAAACGTTTGTGGTTTGATTGATTGTTTAGGATGTTGTGTGGAATGGATGGCCATTTGTTTAATATTCTGTAGTGTTGGCCAATATAAATACTGTAGTCTAGTCTAAAAGACACAGCAGATGAAAAAAAATTAGAATGGTTGCAGTGTGTGACATCAGACACTGAACAATTCACTGCTCACTTTAAAAGATGGTTATTCCTAACAGTCAGTTTGACTTGGTCCAGATGAAAGAAAGTGAACTACTCATCATTGTGACACAGCACACTTGGCAGCTGGTGGACTCGAAACTGAAACCTTCCAGACCCAAGTCCACTTCCTTAACAACTAAGCCACCACTGTCCCATGAACAGCACATATTGAAAGGTAAGTGTTACAGTAGGTCATGGTAGGAAGCAGGCTGGACCCATTTGAAGTACTAGGGAGACTCTCTTCAGGTACAGCAGATTTATTAACAGAGCAAAGACAGAAACTCACAGGAATGAGGCATCAATTGCAGGCATCATGCAAAATTACCCCTGTTTCTGATGCTATGCCCCGTGAGTAAAAAAACACCCCCCCCCCCCCCCCCCAAAAAAAAAAAAAAAACCCCTCTCTTCACAAACAAATACAATGATCCCACAAAGACAGCGTGAGGGAGAGAGCTATATATACCCTGGGCACCAGGTGACACCAGTGAGACTAATGACAGAGACACAGGTGAATGTGATCACTAACCCCACACAGCAGGCAGTCCTAACAGTGGGTTTTTGACTATTCATCCCTATGGTTGGCATTTGACTGTATTAATGTAAATTTAATATTGTTATTTATTTATTTACAATGGTAACATCATTGTTTGAAATGAAAAAGATGAAGTTGAAAGTGCACTGCTCACTTTACCTTTTGTTGAAGTATGCAGTTTAATCTGGGGTTGGGGGGCAGATCTCTGTTCTGGTTCTGACTCCTTTCTGGAAACATCTCTGTCTCAGATCAAGTCAGAACTGTGAGAACTTCATCACTGCTGAGTTTAATCTAATCTAAATGTAATGAGCTCGGTGTCTAACAGAAATAGATTAACTTCTTCTCTTTAAGGACATCAAGCTGTTCGTCCTCATTCTAACTTGAGTCCAAGGATTTTAAAAAAGACAAAAAGTTAAGTTGTGTTGTGTCCTGAAACTAAATGGCCAGACGCTGGTCACCTCAACTGTTGTACATGTAAAATGATGATTTAGGCGCAGACACAAGCAGTGCTTTTGAAGAAATGAACTCTTTCCAGTTAATTTTTTTCTTTTGTTGTTTAATATATTGACAGTTAGTGGAGTAAAAAAGACCAGGCCAGTTTGACTTTTGATCAGAGATAAATGGTGCAGTGCTTTTGTGAGTAAATGTGCATTTTTTGTATTCTGTTATTTAATTTAACAACTTCAGTTTGTGAGGTAGACAAGACCATTCAGTTGGTAATCATATTTAACTTCACAAATAAAGGTGGAGGTCATTGTATTTGGTCATAATTTGTCATTAGTTCATTTAGTTTAAAAGGAAAATGATGATAAAATTGTATCATGAAAAAAAAAAAACCCTGAATCCTACCACGAGTTGAGTATATTGTTACAGACTGATCTGGTATGGGATTAGGGTTGATTTCTTAATATACAGTTATATTAGCCAATATAAATATATATGGCCATTTATAGAACACATCATATTAAGGATTAACAGTTAAGAGGTTCAAATATTTTGAGAATGTTTTAAACTCCGACTCAGTTACATCACAAACAAATGAAATAAAGCTACAAATGACATTTGTCTGCTTCAGAGATCAGGTTGAAAGACGAAAAGGAAATTAAACGATGTATTTAAAGGTGTTAATGTTTGAACACAGTGAATGTGAAGAAGTCATCAGTTAAAGAGCACTGAATAAGTCAATGGTTTCTCTACACACACTGCCTCCAGTTTGAACAAAGCAGCATCCTCCTAAAAGTCTGTCTGAGCTCAGCACTGCGGAAGGCGTAGATGGCCGGGTCAATGAGGGCGTGGCTCATCAGCAGCAGCATATGCAGCTGGAAAAGCGAGCGATAACACTCGCAGTAAGGGTTGGTGGGACACACCATGATGATGATCAGGTGGAGGAAAAACGGGGCCCAACAGACCACAAAAGTCCCCACCAGGATGGTGAGTGTCAGGGCGCCTCTCATGCTGCTGCCCCGCCACTGCCACCTCCTACCACCACTAGAGGGCAGAGATGCAATCTTGCGCGCATGTATGCGAGCCAGCATAAAAATGAAGATGTAGAGGAAGCAGATGATGGCCAGGGAGAGGAGGAAGAAGATGACGAAGTAGATCATGATGAAGGTGGAGTCAAAGAACCTCACCATGAGAATAGCTGACAAACCACACGTGCTCCAGATGATGGCTAGGACAGCCCTGGTGCGCTGCATGGTCATGATGTTGTGATAGCGCAGAGCATGGAAGATGGTGATGTAACTGCAAATGAAAAATAACCGATGAAGATGTTTCCTGACATGTGATTCACTCCGTGAAGTTTCAATAAGAGAGAAACTGATCATTTGGTTTAGTTTTGGTAGAAAACATCTATCTATGGTCAGTTTTGGACTTTCGCAGCATCTAAAAACTAAAACTGATCCAAATAAATCCCTGGTGTGCAGATAAATGCTGTATGAACTTACCGGTCCACAGCAATAGCCAAGAAACTGGAGATGGAACCAACGAAGGACATGCACAGCAGAGAGTCGATAATATCGTCCAGCTTGGTCTCGGAAGAACCCGTCTTCTCCAGTGTGCCACTGTCAGCGAAGGCGATCATCAGCGTCTCGAAGGTTTTGGTGAGGCTGGCGACGGTGTTGAATGCTGCCAGGCTGCAGATGAAGCAGTACATGGGAGAGTGAAGGTTACTGTTCCTGATGACCGCCACCACCACCAGGAAGTTCTCAGCCAGGCTGACTAATCCAATGGTGGTAAAGACAGAGACTGGGACCCTGACTTCAGGGCAGTCAGACTGGACCACGGAGGACGTGTTCATACTTATATTATAATCCATTCTAGTTGTCAGGGAACCTGTGTTATCCTCAGACTTAAAACCCAGCTGAGAAATATTTTATAGTAGTATTGTGTTGAATGTGTTATATCAGATAATTCAACAGTGTTTCTATGTTCTTGTTGTTGATACGTGCAGCAACAGACAATTACAGTCAGGAGATGGATCTGAGTGGGTCTGCTGATGGTGAGGGAGATGTTCTCAGATGATACAGTGTTCCATTTCCATGAACATGGAATAATTGATGCTGACTGTAGACTGATCTAAGTCCATGATATTCATCTCCTCAGTGTGCTTTCCACATAGTGTTTCAGATCAGTCATGGTCTCTGGTCATGGGACAGTGTCTGCCTCTCTGTTTGGAGAAAAGGACAAATGTCCTGCTCTGCATCAGATGGGAAGTGTGATTAGAATTCTGTGGTTTCCTATTGTTGCTCCTTTGACCGGCGTCGATTCAATAATGTCTGCACCAGTCAGTCCATCTGTTCGATTCTCGGCTTGTGGAAAAACAAACACTTCACATGTCACAGATGCCAAAGGCCTCACGACTTCCTGTCTAACATTCATAAATGGCATATCCATAATTTAACATGATGGTTTCCAAACATGATGTGAGGGAAGTCAGATTCCTGTAACCAAAGATTCCTGTAACCAATGCATTTAACCAAATGTTATCAAAAATTGGTTCAAACTACAATTCGTTCAACTATCAGTGAATTATCTGCTTTTCTTATGCATTTATAAGCCATATAAAAATGTCAGGGTATTTAAAATAATAAAATAAAATGTAAGTGAATTGAAGCAAAATAAAGGTACATCTTAGATAAACGCAGCCAAAGTCAGTCTTAGAGAGATTACATTTAGGTTATGAAGTATAATTACAGATAATAACTGACAATAACATTAAGTGACTATTTAAGGGTTAGGGTCTAAAAGTGAGACTAAAACTAAAAAATATCAAAACTGGGGCTGTAAAACAAACACATTTGTCTAGTTAATCACAGGGTAGGTTTGCATTGACCACAATTAAACATGATTAGAAAGGCGAATCAACATTTGTTAATGTGACAAAAGAAAACCCTAAAAAAACATGAAAACAAAGGTAAGGCAAATAGAAAATAAAAAAGTAAGTTAAAAAGAGAAGAACTGGTGTTAGCAACAGGCCTTTTTATGGCATGTTATCCCTTTTCAACCTATTATTATGACATAAAAAATATGAAATGTTTAGACACTAAACATTAAACTGATCCCAGTGCAGCCACAAAAAGTGAAGCCTGGGTCAAAGGGAATACATGTGCTGAGTGTGTTTGCTACAGAATGACTTTATTAAACCGCCGTACTGCCTTTGCAACAATAATAATAGTATTTTGTGATGGTATTTTGCTGATGTAACACCTCTGGAGTTGACAAGGCTGTAACACACTGGGCTGCGAGAGCAACAGAAATGTTCTTTCCGTACGGCACTGACTGAGCATGAGTGTGAGGCTGCAATTTGTACTGCATGGTTAAATTTAGAAGTGTGACTGACAGCTGGGATATCCAGTTGTCTGGTGGCAGGAGATGGTCACTGATGTTGTAACATTTAAATGGACAACCACACCATGCTTTATCTCTGTTTTTTCTCTCAACTGGATTGTGAATTACTTTAGCATGTTGTCAAAATTAACCAGTAGTGCATTGCGGATTTTGTTCAATTACTTATTTACACCGTGAGGGAAGCGGACAGTGTTTTTCATCACCATCACATCTCTGTTAGTTTTGATGCCGCACCAAATAATGAATATTAAAGGTGCAGTTACTTTTCTGAGCTTCCTTGTCTCGTTAGCTATCCACCTCTATTACAACTTGTCACAATAAACTGATTTTGTCACTTTGGGTCAAATCAATAGCTGGAGATAAAGTATTAAGGTTTCCAGCTTACCTTCAGGTATCTATCAGCGGGGATCTGAGTCAGTTGAGACAGTACAGTATATTAATCATAATGAGATGCTACACTGATGCTGCATGAACATACTGCGATGCTCTGCTATAACCTGGAGGTGTTCTGAGGGGGCTGAGAGGTGAGGGGCTTAGTGCAAGTCATTCAAGTTCCTTCAAAACAGAAAAAAAATGTGGAAATGGTCTAAGAGACTAGATTTATGAAAGACAGCGATGAAAAAAATCTTTAAAAAATGCTCTGGGCCTAATTAATTCTGTGCCTTGCTGCACATTTAACTCACACAAATTGACCTGAAATATGGAATTACCTTTGCACCCACTGCCATGAAAAACAAAACAAATTAAAAATATTAAAATAATAATAATATATAATAATATATTATACATAAAATCTACATAGATGCAAATACAGACCTACCGTAAGGGTAATAAAGGAATACTGCCGGGTACTACCAGGTTATTAATATTCCTACAAAAATGAGGAGTCAAATACATTTGTTTTTTTCTTCTCTTCAATAATGTTATTACATTACATTACATATTACAATAATGTTATCTCATTTATTCCACATCCAATAGAGGAAAAAAAAGCTAAAAAATTGACTTATAATTAATAAAATGTTTATTCAACCTAACTGTGACTTTTGAATATTCCTTTCGTTTTCTTGTCTATCTTTCTATTTAAAACTGTTAAATGTCAGCCATCACAAATGCACAGTGACCAAAAACAGTAATTATCTGGAGCCATTAACTTGTTTTGTTTTAGCATCTTGATCAGAGTTTAACAGATGTCTTTTTAGGAGGTGGTTTCACAGGTTTTGCAGCAGATCACCATGAGAAACTAAGCAGTGCTGCGTAAGGTACACACAGAGCACAATGGAATGATCTAAGTTTTTCCTGTTTGCTTGAAGTTGATCACGATTCCCTTCACAGCGGTCGGCTAAGTGAGCCATGACAATGAAGAGCCATCTCCAAACAGTGAGCTCCCATTGAGAGACGATCAAAGGCCCTGTGAGTCAGACAGAGCGGCACAGAACAACAGTAGTAATGCTAATGCACGAGGCGACACAAAGTCTTTTCATTCTCCATCAGACCTATATTATAGTGAAAACTCTTACTTCCTGATTCTATTTGTAATTTTAAAAGCCTCAGAGCCTCTCATTCTCTCCAACAAATGCCTGTCTGGTCATCATCTTTCTCTGGTTTTACAAGAGACTATTCACTGGTTTTCTGTGCAGCTGTATTAGTGTTTAAAGCCTTAGTGGGGTTTTTTGGGTACTAAAAGCAGCAGTATATGAGCATGCACTTACTGTACAATAACAAACCCCTATAGAGCAATAAAAGAAAAATATTGCTCTGCTTTCAGCTGTCAGATTTCAGTCCTTGGTCAGATTTTACCGGAGTAGAAGATTAGAAATAGGAAAAGACATATATGAGCCTTACTTTGTTTTCCAGTTGCTACCAGCGGCAGAAACACATCTGCTATCTAGGCAGACTTTTAGGAGATGATTTGTCCTGTTTGGTGTCTAGAGAAAAGGTGGCAAAGTAAACTCATCTACCAAAAAGGGTTCTCATGTGGGAGGGACACCGAACAGTGTTTTTGTATCCTTGAAAGGCTGCTGCACCAAGGCTGGCTTATGTGTCATTTGGTCCATTTCTGTGTTTTTCTTGTTTGTTAGTATATCCATTAATGACAAATCGGCACAAGGCTGGTCAGAGTGCTGCACTATCTGGGCCTCTCACCTTATTTTCTCTCTTTGGCAGACACTACATCACAGCATTGTTTTCTTAATTAAATAAAACTATAGTATTGTGAAAAAAAAAAACATCTGGCCATCTCTATAAAACATTTTTTAACCCTGGGAGTCTTTTAGTTAGAAACTTTAGGTTTCTGTCAATTCTTCACATTACTATAGCATAAATCATTGTTGAGTCTTAAACCCTGGGACATGGCCCATTGTTGTGCAATGACAGATCATCTGGTGTGCCATGGAAAATTAGAAAATTTATTTAGTGGAAATATTATATTTTCTTCTGTCTATATACTCTGCCACAGGGTGGCAGCATATGTCTTTAAAAAAAGCTGTTGAAGGAGATCCTTTTGTGTCTTTCCTTAATTCCTCTATCAGCGTATCAACGTTCTGTTCAATTAAACAGGCCCAGCTTTCACACTAAGTAAGCAAGTTGTGAGTAATTTAAATTTTTTTTCAAGTTTAACAAACTCCCATCTGCCCTCCATAATGGTCAATCCATTTAAATCAATTTATTACCAAAAGAAACTGCTATTTGAAGGAGCAAAAAAGAAAAGTTCATACATATTATACTGAGATTCATTAAAGAACAGGGGAGAAAGTGTTTCAAAAACAACCAGACCTTCTAATGCAGTAATAAGAAGTATCTTCAGATACTGATTTATGTATCAAAAGGTCCAGTCTTCACCCAACCTAGGCCTCAAAAATATTAAAACAGTTTGGAGTCAGAGGTCACAGTGTAAAGGTCACAAGGCAATCAAAACAGATTTGTGTTCTGCTTCAGGGATTTATTTCCATATTCTTCTATTCTTCTCAGTTGATTTAATTGATCTCTGGGACAAAGTGAGACGAGAAATGCTCAGCAGGGTTAAGTGTTTGGTGCTGGATGTTTCTTTTTTGACTTGTCACCCTCAGATTTCACCTTAACATTTTTCTGTGCTGATTAGAAGGTCAACAAGAAAACCTTCAACTCAGGGTGAAAAACTCATTGCTTATTTAAAAACACTTAAAACTGTGGTCAAAACACCTCCACTAACTCCCTTCATCCCTTAAAAAACATTAACACTTTACATTTACAAAGAAAATATATAAAACACGTTTCTAAGCAACAAACTGCTTCACTGATCTTGACTTCAAGCACGTCAGACTGTTATATTTATGCTCTTAGTATTTGAATACCACAACAAATCCTGACATTGGAACAACTGAAGGAGATGCTAGGTTGGTTGAACAGTAGGATTCAGGAGGTTCTGGAACTCCGTGATAATGATAAGGATTGTTTCAGTCTCGTGGCAACCGAAAGGGCAGCCTTCAACTTTTTAGTTAGGTCAACAATTTGTTTTTCTTTAGTTTTTCCAACAAGAGTTTAGTTACCACAATGAAAAAAAAATGTCTCCAACAACAACAACAAACACTTAGTTGTTTGAACTTTCCATTTTATGTCAACATAGTAAGGTGAATAATGTTAACCACCTCTTTCTCTTATTTTGCATCATCTATCATTTATTAGTTGACTTAATTTGAATACATTACTTTAAGACAATGATGCCTTCATTTCAGAGAAAAGTTGGAATTCATCTCCTAACCAAAGCAAAATCTGTAAGCATTTTCTGGTCATTTAAATAATTTGCACTTTACACATTGACCCATATCAATAAATATAAATCTGCTTTTTTGGACTGAAACAATCTACTTTATTTAAGTAACAAATTGGCATGGTGCATTCATACGACGTGAAGGGGGATAAAACAGACTGAAGCTGCCAAAAAATGTTTTTACGTCATTCTCAGAGATTAGGCTTTACTTTAATAACATTATTATCCTTATTTTGACCAAAAAGGGCCTCAGTTGAGTTCTAAAAAAACTGTTGCCAGGCATCAGGTAAAAGAAAAGCCAGATTCACATTATCAGAATTAAGTCCCTTGCTTGAAGACGTGCCAGGGAGATTTGTACATTTCAATCCTTAAAACACGTCAT